GCACCTTTCCTACCACCTTGGCCTCCTGAATACTTGGGCTTGGCCCGCAGTCCTGGGCTCCTGCCTGGAGTGCTACCTCTGGCCTCATCCCTCTGGGTGTCCTGAAACCACGTTCCCCTAAATGCAAACCTCGCTCCCTCTTAGACATTGCTCTTCACCTACAGGATGAAATCAGAATGCCTGGGACCTACTCCATTGCCTGTGGGAGTCTGACCAGCCAGCCCTGCGAGCTTCGGCTCCTTTCCTGTGCCTCGTCCCTTCCCGAAGCCTACACGCTGCCTCCTTCCTTGGTGATGCGTGTGGCTCCTGCTTAAAGCTCTTGTTGTGCTGCTTGCCTCGACTCCCTCCGTACTGCTCTATTGTCCTGTGTCCTCTGCCTCTCTCAACTGCAGTCCTACCTTCCTAGCTTACCTTTCCAGGCTTAGCATTTTGCAGACTCCCAGGTACACAGTAGGTGCATACTACTGTGGAGACCTGCTAGACCTGCCTGCTCCGAGCATGGCTGCTGGGCGCATTGAGTGGCAGCTGCTGTGGAGCTGGAGCTTTTCCATGGGCCCATCCTGGGCCCGAGGCGATAATCCCCACTGTTCACCAGCAGCTGTCCACAGGCATCGGAGCAGTCCTGGCACGGTTCCGATGCCTGCCCTGCTGGCTGAGTGAGCCAGGCCTTCAGTAGCTGGACACTGTTGGGGCAGCTGCTGAGCCAGTGCTGGGCTGCAGAGCCTCCTAAGTCCCTTATGATTGAGACCTTCCTCTTAGGGCTGAGAGCTGGCCATTGGGAACCTGATAATTATGTAGGCGGAGAGCAGATTCTCTCTAAAGGACCCCATGGTTGACAGTGAGAGGGAAACACAATCCTGCATGCGTCTTTGCGTGGCGAGTTTAATTTTAGGGTTAAGCTTCCAGTGTGTTTGCAAAAGGGAGCATAGCATGATTTTGAAATTTGGGGCAAAATGCACATTACCCGAGCCACTGTGTAATTTTGGGCTGGGAATCCTAGGAGGCACAGGGCTTCTCTTAGCTAAAGTGCTGCCTGTTTAGCATCTTGAGTGAAGACAGTGGTGTCCAGGCCAGAGCAATAGGCTCCCAGGCTCCAATGCTCTGTCCTGGCCACGACCCTGGACAGACTTTGCTCTGGAGTGCCAGCCTTGTCTGCCTTTTCCATTCCATCTGTGAGAGCAGGGAAAGCGCCCAGCTGTCCATCCTGAGGGGTCAGGGTCTGGGCCTTTCCTCTGGTTGGGCCTTGAAGGCTGGCCCTGTTGCTTCCTTCTGCTGTGCGTTGTCCCAAGCATGTTGCAGTTTAATCTCTGCAGCTAGGCTGTGAGGGGGGACAGATGACACCTCCACTTCACAGACAAGGGAACTGAGACCAAAGACGGTTAAGCATGCAGGCATGCAGGTGGAAAGCCACAGAGCCCAGGCCACCTGCCGACCAGACCAGACACCGTTCACGGGGTGCGTGTTCAGCCCCTCAGTTTTATCCGTTTCTTTTGTTTTTTTGATGGAATTAGCTGACAGCACTAAAGGTCAGAGATGGCACATAAAACTCATTTCTAGTCTCATGGACAAATCCGCAGAACTGAGGATTCTGGCTCAAGTTCCCCCATGGGAATGTTGCCTGGGGATGAAATAACGTGTCCAGAGCCCTTCTGGATGTCACCGTACCCTCTGCTGGGTGGGGGTCTGCCCAACGCTGTCATGGTGAGACTCAGCCCTGTCTCCCCTCTGCATTCTCTGCCCCCGCAGTGAGCTGACCTGTGGGATTTAGTGCCCTGGGCTCTTTTCGGTCTGTGGTTTTACAGATTAGATGTTGAGTGTTGACAAATCTCTCTTAGTACCTTAAGGGTTCACAGTACCAGGGATTACGGGAGCTGCCGGTATGCCTCCTGGTATGCACGGGACATGTGAGCAGGTGTTGCTGTTACTGCCTTATTTAAATGTGACTTACCCAGGGGCCCAGGAGTTCTTCCTGCTTCTGAGCACTTTTCTTTTTTATTTTGGTTTCACAGCCCCTGATTTGGGGACAATAAAGGTGACACAGTCATTACCTAAATGATTTCATGAAAAATGCTTTTGTAAAGTTATAGTTTGGTTTTTTCTTTAAGACTTTATTTATTTATTTTTGAGATAGAGTTACAGACAGAAGGAGAGACAGGGAGAGAGCGGTCTTCCATCCACTGGTGCACTCCCCAGATGGCCACAGCAGCCAGAGCTGGGCTGTTCCAAAGCCAGGAGCCAAGAGCTTCCTCCAGGTCTCGCACACAGGTGCAAGGGCCCAAAGACTTGGGCCATCTTCTACTGCTTTCCCAGGCCATCAGCAGAGATCTGGATCAAAAGAGGAGCAGCCAGGACTCAATCTGGCACCCACATGGGATGCCAGCACTGCAGGAGGAGGCTTAGCCTACTACACCACAGTGCCAGCCCCGAAGTTATGTTTCTTTAAAAGTAATTTTCTTTTTTTATTTGACAGGCAGAGTGGACAGTGAGAGAGAGAGACAGAGAGAAAGGTCTTCCTTTGCCGTTGGTTCACCCTCCAATGGCCGCCACGGCCGGCGCGCTGCGGCCGGCGCACCACACTGATCCGATGGCAGGAGTCAGGAGCCAGGAGCCGGCCCTTTAAAAGTAATTTTAAAGATAAGTGTGGGCCGCGCCGCGGCTCACTAGGCTAATCCTCCGCCTTGCAGTGCCGGCACACCGGGTTCTAGTCCTGGTCGGGGCGCCAGATTCTATCCCGGTTGCCCCTCTTCCAGGACAGCTCTCTGCTGTGGCCAGGGAGTGCAGTGGAGGATGGCCCAGGTGCTTGGGCCCTGCACCCCATGGGAGACCAGGGGAAGTACCTGGCTCCTGCCATTGGATCAGCATGGTGCGCCGGCCCCAGCGCGCCAGCCGTGGCAGCCAATGGAGGGTGAACCAACAGCAAAGGAAGACCTTTCTCTCTTTCTCTCTCTCTCACTGTCCACTCTGCCTGTCAAAAAAAAAAAAAAAAAGATAAGTGTGGGCAGGAGCATGGAGAAGGTTCTGCAAGTTTATGTGGGGGTGTTGAGTGGGCAGAGGAGAATTAGACTTTATGTAGTTTTGAGTACAGTTTTTTTATTTTTAAATTAAAATATTAATGGAGATTAATTAAATTAGCAAGCTTTAATAAAGATGTATAAGAATGCAACTCTTGGGAAAACCCTGGAAACCCTTAGACAGCAGATGCTGGAGGAAGCACACAGCTGTGGAGGCACCACAGAGAGCAGTGGGCCAGGTGGTATTTGCACAGGAAGCCAAGCTCGGTATAAGGCCTGGAAGGGGCATCTTGTGGGGAGAGCGTGAGAGGCCAGAGCCCTCCATCGCCTGTGGCCCCTGCAGGGACAGGTGCCGCCAGAATTTCAGCAGGGTTGGGAGGGGGTAGAGCAGCCTGTGGTTGCAGTGTACCATCTCAGCCACGTGAACCAGGGCTGCCAGAAACAAATGGAGTCCACTTGAATGCCATGTTTTTGCCTAAGCCAATTGATCAGAAGTACTGCTGCAGCATGCAGTCAGTGCATGACATCTACAGAGAGTTTGTTTATTTTTTGACCAAGCCTTTGAGTGCATCCTACCTGTAGCACTGCAGTCCCAGCAGCCATGCTGCGGGCTCGGTGACCTTTGCAGGCGTCAGCAGGCCACAGGCCACGCGCTCTTCCTGTCCAGGCTGCGTTTCCGGTGGTGTCTCCGACACAGGGCTCCCTCTCCTGGAAGTTGGGTGGGAGGGAAGGCCACGGGGCTGCTCCGAGGGTGAGTGCCCACGTGGGCTTTCCTCGTGACGGGCTGTGCTCAGACTCTCCTGCAGAGAGCAGACACTTACCACAAACCGTTTTATATCAGAATGTGGACACAATGCCACGACGAGAAAGAAGGGGGGCTTCCTCCATCCCCTGCCCGCGACGCCTGCAGTGTCAGCGTGGCTATGTTTAATCTGCCGAACTTCTCCGAGTTCTGTTACAGAGGTGCTCATAGCAGGCAGCTCGCCCACGCCCCACGCTCCCCTTGCCGAGGTATCATGCTAAATGCTTCAACTTGCCATGAAAATATTGTGACGAATCAGTGGAAATATTGTGACAAGCCAGTGAATTCGGGGTTGCTATGGAAACTGCCCCCCCAGTCCTTGTCCTTCTGAGGTGGGCTTAGCTGAAGTGGCAGGCTGGTCTGTTTACTTTGTCTCCACTTGTTTTGGGCCCTGTCATTCAGCCACGAGGCAGATGCGGCCTGGACAGAGATGACTGCCTGGGCGTTCATTTCATCAGTGTGCCCTGTTGCACCCTCAAGGCTTCCTGAGAGCCACAGTGAGGGCAGAACTGACTGGGGGTGGGGGAGATGGGGGGAGGTGCCAGGAGGTTTTCAGAGGAGGCCGTTGGTGGTTGGCGAATGGCTGTGTCCTCCAGGCGGTCACTCGTGTTCTAAAGGAGCCTGGCCCAGGCTTCCCTTTCCCCAGACCTGTGCTTGAACTTGCTCCAGGGGGGTTGGGAATAGGGAGTTTGGGCCAGGATGTGCAGGAAGCAGCCTCCCCTTGCCTTCTATTCTTCTCCCATGACTCTGCATGTGTGTGGTGAGTGATGGGTTTGGGGGGTCAGGCAGGGCCCACAGGGCTGTGGGGCTTGGTCACGGCCAGGTTGTGGGAACCTTGCTGAGCCAGGCAGGGGAGGAGAATTGGGCCCAGGCATTGCTGGGAAAAGAAGGAGAGAGAAGCCATCTCTGGGGGAAATGTGCCTCGCGGAGTTCTACTCGGTGATTAACAAGGGAGGCTGGTTGCTCCCAGCCCAGGCTGAGACCTCTCTGGGCAAGGTTGGAAGCTGGTGCAGGGGCCCCTTAAGAGCAGGAGGCCCCTAGAGCCTGCCCACCCACCCAGCCTGCCGCCCCAGCCAGGCAGAGTCCTCCTCCTTGGCCCTGTGGGGCGGTGAGGGAGGGGCTTCAAAGCTGTGGCGAGCATTTCGATGTGGGTGTTAAGTCCCAGCTCTTCTGCTCTCGCGGCACAGGGCCCCCGGACTCTGACAGCCCTCTCTACCTGCCCTATAAGACACTGGTCTCCACGGTTGGAAGCATGGTGTTCAACGAGGGCGAGGCCCAGCGGCTCATCGAGATCCTGTCCGAGAAGGCGGGCATCATTCAGGACACCTGGCATAAGGTGGGCCCCCTCCCCTGGTCACACTGTGAGGCCCCTGCAGCTGGCCAAGGCGGTCTAGCCCTTCCTTCCTTTGCCTCCCTGGCCCTGGAGCCCCAACTCCCCAGCGGAGGATGCTTGTTGGGCTGGCCATAACCACCTGCTAGGCTGTGGAGAGAATGTTCACAAAACAGCCTGCACTTCTGGGCAGGGTCCTGGGAGGCTGTGAAGGAGCCGCTGCAGACTGTTACAGGGGACTCTGGGGAGGTAGCAGGGGTGGAACACAGGAACTGGGACCCCATTGGTTTGCAGCCAGAGCCCCAGGAACAGTGAGGAAGTTGTGGGGCATAGCATACGTGAGGGAAGCCTTTGATGAACCCGAAAGCACCCCTGCTGTCAGATGCAAGTCCAGAGGCTAGCTCCATCCCTGGCCCTCCGACCAGTGAGGCCAGGAAGTCCAGTGTACCTGTGTTTGTTCCTTAAACCCAGAGTCAGGATGCAAGGTCATCTTGCTGGAGAATTTTGTGCTGGGGAGCCCTGCCCTGAGGCATGACTCCAATCTTGATTATTATCAGCCCTGCTGGGGGTTCCTTGCCCAGGGAGCGGGGCCCTCCTGGACATGAGTACTGCAGGAGGTAGGCTCAGCTCAGGCCACCAACCCAGGGACCACCTCCCTTACCTTCAGGCTGCCCACACCAGCTCAGGGGTGACTCAGCCAAAAATAAAGTCCAGGTGTCCCTCGGAGGGGCTGGAAATGGCCACACTTGCAAGAACTGCCCAGGGACATCTCTACCTGCGTGGCTGGGGCAGCGTCCAGAGTCAGGCGGGACACCCGTGTTGAAGCGTGCGCTCGCCATCCAGCCGGCACTGGGCTCTGCCCTTGTCTGATGGCTGAGGTGGGGGCCTGAGCCCAGGGTCTGTCTATCCCCTCTGTTTATAAAGCTCTGGTGGGCATTTCCAGGCCACTCAGAAGGGCGACCCCGTGGCGATTCTGAAACGACAGCTGGAAGAGAAGGAGAAGCTGCTGGCCACGGAGCAGGAAGACGCGGCTGTCGCCAAGAGCAAACTGAGGGAGCTCAACAAGGTACAGGCCCTGCTGTCCCTGCCCTCTGCAGACCTCCACCCAGGAGCCCCTGCTGCCTTGATCACGGGAGCCAGGGCGCAGCTCCTGGCTGGGATCTGCAGGCACGGAGCTGTTTGCCCGACCAGTGAGCGAAGGGAAGAGTGCACAGGAGCTGGGCAGGGCGCTGGGCTCAATGTGTGATAGGGATGATGGCCAGAACTGGCTCTCCCGGCTGGTTCCACCACGAGGAGGGTCTCTGCACCTGGATGCCGTTGATCCGTGCGGCTTCTTGTGAATTGGGGTGAAACCATGTTGCAGGGCACGTCAGGGGGACTTTTCCCTTCCTTTTCCCATTCAGAGAGTGGTGTGCAGGGAAGCAGCTCCTTGGGTCAGCTGCCAGCTTGGTGGAGCAGAGCTGTTCCCCGGGTGGCATCGTTTAGGATGTGTTGGGGCCCATGGCACAGAGGGCCACCCTTCACCCTGCTAAGTTCCCTGGAGTCCCTCCCTTGGCCTCCCTACTTCCTGGAGCCCTGCCTTCCAAGAGGACACGCAGAGCAGGGCAAGGGGGTCTGCGGGGTGGTTGTGCTGCATTGGGAAGCTGTCCCCTCCCTGCTTGTCCACCACCTGCAGCCCTTTCTCCAGGTGCCTTCAGCCTCATGTTCGAAAAGAACTTGGAAATGAGGTAGCCTGACACTCTATCCTAGACTCAGGAGGTGGAAGGTTCGCCAGGTGGGGGATGGTCAGGCCTCCAGTGGCCTTCCCTCTGTTCACGTGGGACTGTGCCTTATCTCAGAAGACGTGTCCATGGGCAGCGTCCACATGAGCCACACTGGGTTGTTGGTTAAACACAGGAGGGAGGGGCTGCTTGCCCTGGCTCATGGAGGCCTGTGGTGCCCATCTCTCCCTGGCTCCCAGCTCAGGCATCCTGCTGCAAGTTAGGCAGAGGCCACAGAAATTGGCAAGCACTGCAAGTGAGAGCCCTCACACCCCAAAGGCCAGCTGCCCGGCACACCGCTAGTTAAGTCTTGTTTCCCTATCTTTGTGAACAAAGAACCCTGTGAAAATGTGACCCCACAAAGTCTGCTCGAGGGTCACACCTGCCTGCCCCTCCTGCACAGAGTGGCCTCTGGCGGTGACGCATGGCCCCATCTCTTCCTTTTGCTGGATTCTCTGTAAGGTGTAAGGGGGTACGTCCCCTCTAGAAGGAAGCCCAGGAGACAGGGCCCCTGTGCTGGTCACCGGGCGCCCGTGCTCTGCCTCAGAATTGACCGTGTGGTTTGATTTCCAGAACCAAGATGGCAGCAAACATAGACAGCTCACTAGTCCAGCAGCCCCACCCTGTCTATGCAGGGCAGTAGGAGACATCGCGGGCTATGAGCTCTGGAGCGAAGCCTTTGCTTTCCACTGCCTCCCGCACTCCAGCGCCAGGTCGTGGCTCCAAGGCGAGCAGAGGTTTAAAGGCCTGTGCGGCCAGGGCCCTCTGCACTCTTGCCACAGCTTCCTCCCAGCGGCCTGAAGCTCTCTGTGCTCCCGGAGGCTTTTGTGGCCCCGTGAGGACCTCTTCCAGCTCTGCTCAGCTCCTAGGCCTTAACCCCGCCTCCCCACCTGCCCTGCCTCTGGCCTTTCCCCTGTGCCCACGCTGCTGTCTGCAGACAAGCAGCGCCCATTCTCGCTTCCCTGGGCCTCGCCTCCAGCCCTTCTCTTGCCCTTGGGTGCCCTCCTCTGCGGGGCTCTGCACATTGCCTTCTTACTCTGGAGCCTTCTGGAGCTCCCTAGGCTCTTCCCACACTGAGGTCCTCATTCCCGTCAGGCATGCTGTATGTGGCTCCTGTTGGGCCTTGGACCCCACACAGCAAGCCCTCTCTGGCCTCCTGGCCCAGCCCAACCTGCCAGGCCGTCCATGAGCAAGTGGCAACCGGGGCCCAAGGCTGCCCCAGCTAAGGGAACAGGCCTTCACTGGCATTTCCTGGGAGTAGCTGGCATCTGTCGTGCTCCTGGGATTTGTGCACTGTGGGCTGTGGCAGCTTTCTGTTGAGAGCCCTGAGCAGAACCAACATGTTCTCACTGTGGTGCCCTGTCCCCAGCCCAGCACTCTGGAGGGAAGTTGACGAGTGAAAAGGGCCACGTTCCTCTGGCCTTAATCCCCAGCAGGAGGTGGTGAGAGGGCCAGGACCTTTCACAGGCTTGCTGGGTCCCGCTAGCGAGTTGTATAGTTGAACTGGAGGGGTTTGGTTAATTCTGTTTTGTGGGGCCGTCATCTGATAGATCGGTGCTTCCCACGTGAAATCCTAGCAAAATGAGGTTCAAGGACCAGTCCAGGTCCCATCCCCTGGGGGTGATGGGCTCGAGCATCCCGAGAGCTCTGTCCAGGCCCTGTGAGCGTCTGCAGGACCCAGAGCTTGGGTGCCGGGAATCCTGGCAAGGGCTCCCGCCACGTCACCGACGAGGCTCAGCCTTCTTGGGAGCCTTTGCAATAATCATCTTCCTGGCACTGCAGTCCACGTCGCCAGGGCCTCTACTCTGAACCACACGTGGATGCTGGGCTTTAGGGAACGTGCCTAAGGAGCCCTGGGGCTCCGGGACCCTTGGGGAGGAGGTGCTCAGGGTAGGGTGAGAAGAGCTCCAGTTGTCAGTTGTTAACCTTCTCTGGGTGGAGGTTGCCTGCAGGCTGTGCCTCTACCCGCCCTTTCTCAGTCAAACGGCCAAGGCTTGAAGCTTGCACCACGCAGAGCCCTGCGGAGCTGGGAACGTGCCCGAGAGAAAGCGGAGGCACAGTCATTGCCCAGTGATGGTGCCAGGCCTCATCCCCCTACACAGCCAAGGAAAACTGGGCTCCACGTGGAGGCTTCCACCCCTCCCACCACCAGGACTGCTTTTTTGGGAAACCAGTCCAAACCTTGTTACCAAAGTCAGAATTTCACAGGAGGGGCCGGGGTGGAGGGGCGGGAGGAAGAGGGGGAATGGGGGTGGGCAGCGGGAGTCCTGGAATTCGGAGGTCTTAAAAGAGGCCACAGAACTAAACAGACGTGCTGAGGATGAAGTGACTTCTCTCTGCCCTCCACAAAACCCCAATAGCCAACTAGGAGGGGGAAAATCACACTGGATTCTGGTAGTCTCAGGACCCTGACCCCCAGGAAGTTGGGACACGCATGCCTTGAGCCTGGTGGATACCAAGAACCACATGAGGCCTGCCCGGGCTGGGAAAGGATGTCTGGTGTATAGAACAGAGGTGGGCAGAGGACAGCTCCCCCAGCCCCCCCTTCCCTCTGTGTGGCCATTGGTGTGCTGGGGCTCTCCAGATTTGGTTTCCTCTTTCTTGAGGCTGGGCCAGGTACTTCAAGGGGCTGGCATGGGGGAACCTGGAACAGAGAGGAGCCCTCCCACTTTGGTGGTGGAGGCTTCGCCTTCCGCATTGCACCTGCTCTGCCCACGCTGGGCCTGCGTTGGAAGAGGCCCTCTGTCACCTCCCTGGACGGAGGAGGGTATTGGCCTTCCTGCCCCTCCTGAGACCTCTTGGACTGCACCTTCCCAGGTCCGGCTGTTCCCCAGCCCTGGTCTCGTCTGTCCTCTCCGAGGCCCAGCGGCCTCTGCTTGCAGTGCAGATCGCAGTCCTCATGTGAGCCTGGCTTGTCTGCAGTGGGTGCAGTGCTGGTGATGCCCTCCCACTGCTGGAGAGGGCCGGCAAGTGTGCCTTAGCTGGACCTGCGGGCTCACCAGGCACAGCCGGAAGGAGGACTGCCTTGGAAAAGCAGGGCTGGCAGGTGCCAGCTGCTCCTGGGAGTGCCAGTGCACAGAACCGCACTAGTACCGGTGCCAGCCCGATCAGCCCTGCCCTCTCCGGGCTCTGCTGTCTGAGGAAAGGGCACACCTGCTTGGGGATGGGCCTCCCTTGCATACTGGTTCCTCTTCTCTGCTCTGCCTGGGGCAGGGAAGGGGACGCCCTGAATCTCATGGGACACTGGCATCCCGGTTGCCCAGAGGAGCTGTGCCCGTGGTGTGTGCGCACCAGGCAGGTGTCAGCCTGGCCAGAGACAGGGAGCACACTCGCCGCCCCTCCTCACGTTGTCACCCCTGCCGTCCCCTGAGCTTTGTGCAGTACCACAGCTCTGGGGTGACTCAGACCGTGGCCAACCCTGCTGCCCCTATGCTCTGCTCCCCAGACTGGGCATGCAGCACTGACTGGAGCACACGTTCCCTTGGGCTGAGGTGGAAGAATGACAGCTCTCAGTGTCCAGGCCCTGCAGTCGTGGGGCTGGCCCTGAGCAACGATGTCTTCATCCCCATCCCAGCCACCAAGGTTTACTGCCTCTCAGGCCCGACAGAAGTGCTTGAGGGGACGTGGGCTATGGGAGCCTGGACTGAGCCACACTGGGGTGCTGTCAGCAGAGGGGCTGAGCTGATGGTGCCCACGAGGGCCCAAGGATGGTGCGGGGTCTACACGGCTCCACTGCAGCCAAGGCCTGGCATCAGCCCACACCCAGCCAGCAGGATTTCCCAGGATCCCTTGTCTCTTGGTGCTCCTACTGTAGCTGGGGGGTCCCTTGGTGGCTCTGGCCAGCAGGAGGGATCTGTCCAGCCTCCTCCCAACCCTGGGGGTGCCTCTACTTCTACCCCCGCGGGCCTGACTGGCTCCTTTGCTATTCTCTTCCCAGGAGATGGCAGCAGAAAAGGCCAAGGCAGCAGCCGGGGAGGCCAAGGTGAAGAAGCAGCTGGTGGCCCGGGAGCAGGAGATCGCAGCTGTGCAGGCGCGCATGCAGGCCAGCTACCGTGAGCACGTGAAGGAGGTGCAGCAGCTGCAGGGCAAGGTGGGTAGTGGCCTCAGCCCCCAGGGAAGGGACTCTCAGGTCTGGCAAGGGGCGGCCTGCACTTGAGATAAGGATGCCCTTGGTGGGGTCTGCGTAGTGTGTGGAGGGGCCAGGGGTTATCACATCTGGCTGGACTGTGTCAGCCCGCTATGCGTATGTTTTTTTTTTTTTTTTAAGATTTATTTTATTTATTTGAAAGAGTTACAGAGAGAGGGAGAGCCAGAGCCAGAGAAAGAGGTCTTCCATCTGCTGGTTCACTCCCCAAATGACTGCAATGGCCAGAGCTGGGCTGATGCGAAGCCAGGAGCCAGGTGCTTCCTCCTGGTCTCCCACACGGGTATAGGGGCCCAAGGACTCAGGCCATCTTCTGCTGCTTTCCCAGGCCATAGCAGAGAGCTGGATTGGAGGTAGAGCAGTAGGGACTTGAACTGGCGTCCATATGGGATGCCGGCACTTCAGGCTGGGGCTTTAACCCACTATGCCACAGCATCGGCCCCAGTGCGTGTGTCACATTAATAACCAGGAAAGTGTAAATTACAATTTAAAGAGCACTTTCACCTAAAGAGCGAAGCTCCCAGCGGGCCAGCTCCGTGTCCCCCGCCCCCCCTTGGGTATCTGTGCAGCAGGTGTTCATCCTTCCTGTGGACCTGGAGAACGCCACCTCCACACAGGCTTGGGAGCTCCCGTGAGACAAGAGACCAGAAAGTCACAGTTGGGGCGGCCTTGCAGTGCAGAGGGTTAAACCGCTGCGTTAGGATGCTGGTGTGCCACATCTGAGCACTGGTTTCAGGGCCCGGCTGCTCTGCTTCTGATCCAGCTCCCTGCTAATATGCCTGGGGAGGCCCAAGTAACTGGGCCCCTGCCAGTGGGATTCCTGACTTGTGGTTTCAACCTGGCCCCGACCTGGCCGTATGAGGAGTGAACCAGTGGGCGTTCACTTTGTATGTGTGGGTATGTGTCCATGTCCTTCTCTGTCATCCTGCCTTTCAAATAAATAAATAAGTATCTTTAAAAAAGAGTCCCAGTGCTGCAGCGAGGGGCCTCGGGCCAGCGCCAGGCAGCTGCCTGTCCAGACCAGCTGGCTCTGTAGTCAGAGCCTGATCCTTATCTCACAGAACCTGAGCTCTCCTCGCTGTGGCCGTGCCTCTGCCCTGCTGCTCAGCTCAGGAGGCTCATGGGAGGTCAGAGGGCAGGAAGCGAGTGTTCCTCGGGGCACCTACAGGCTGTGACTTGTGGTCGTGTGCTTCATCTCAGCACAGTCAACCCTGGGTGACAGACGTCACGGGGCGTGTCAGGCTGTGGCCTCAGCAATGAACCCCAGGCAGGCCGTGAGCAGTGAGAGGAGAGGAGGCGAGTGGCTGGGGGTGGGTCACACTTGGCCTCAAGCCCCTGCCGCTGGCGTTCGGGCCTCTTGCTGCACGGCACCCTCCCAGCCTGCCTGGGGTGCAGGGGGCTCCTTCTGGGGGGAGGTCTCTCTGTCGTGTGTCCTTGCTCCCCCCCCATCCAGAACCCAGTTCTCTGCAAGGCCAGGCAGTGTTCTGATGCCCCCCACCACCACCACCATGCCTTTCCAGATCCGAACTCTTCAGGAGCAGCTGGAGAACGGCCCCAACACGCAGCTGGCCCGGCTACAGCAGGAGAACTCCATCCTGAGGGATGCCCTGAACCAGGCCACCAGCCAGGTGGAGAGCAAGTGAGCCACGTGTGCACGACGCGGCGGGGTGCGCTTTGGCTTCCTGCTGGACGTGTGGCCGGTTGTGGTGGCCGTGCCCAGGCCCCATGCGGCTCTGCTGCCTCCCCATGCAGAGCCCTGTCCTGGGCTTTCCTCTCCTGTCTGGGTTCTGAGCTGCTGTCTTCTGCTGGGTGGCCTGGTGTCCCCTCAGTGCTCCGGCCTGCAGCGCCCCCTGGCTGGAGCTGGCATCTTGCTCTGCTGGACGTATGGTGCTTGCCCCAGGCCCTACGTCTTGGAGGCGTTCAGAAGTCCTGGGTGGCGGCCCGCAGTGCTGAGGCCGTCTCTGTCTTGCAGGCAGAACGCGGAGCTGGCCAAGCTCCGGCAGGAGCTCAGCAAGGTCAGCAAGGAGCTGGTGGAGAAGTCGGAGGCCGCGCGGCAGGAGGAGCAACAGCGGAAGGCCTTGGAGGCCAAGGCAGCTGCCTTCGAGAAGCAGGTCCTGCAGCTGCAGGTGGGTGAGGCTGGCCAGCTCCGTGCCCCACTCGCTGCCCCGCCAGCCATGCTGGGTCATCGCTCGCGAGTGCAGCACAGAGCCTGACCTCTGCCTTGTTGGTAACAGCGCCCGCTGGCACAAGTGGGTGCTCCCTGCATGCTGAGCAGCATTCAGAGCATAATGTGGGCGTGAACTCAGCCAGTTCCCGCTGTAACCCTGTGAGGGAGGTGAGCTGGAGTCTGCATTTGCCCCAGAGGGACGTTTGAGGCCCAGTGGCTAAGCGAGTACCCGGGCCCACACGGCCAGGACGTGGCAGAGGCAGGACCTGACGGCAGCGTGCGGCCCCAGAGCTGCGTGTCCTCCCAACTTGCCACCACCATGGCGCTGCAGGTCTGCAGTAGCCGCACACACAGCCTGCAGTCGGCCTCTGGACCAGGCCTGGAAGCCTGTTTTCGAGGGAGAGTACCCTTTCTCCTTCAGAGGCAGGGACGTTGTCCCCCGTCCCACAGTGCGCTGGGCAGCGTCCTCAGCCCCCGGCCTTGCTGCCTACCAGCCCAGTGACTTCCCACCCCCACTGCTGTCGGGCCCTCTCTAGGGAATTTTTTTTAAAGATTTATATGAGGGGCCAGTGCTGTGACATAGAGGGTAAAGCTGCTGCCTGCAGTGCCAGCATCTTATGTGGGTGCTGGCTCGTGTCCTGACTGCTCCACTTCCAATCCAGCTCTCTGCTGTGGCCTGGGAAAGCAGTAGAACATGGTCCAAGTCCTTGGGCACCTGCACCCATGTGGGAGACCTGGAAGAAATTCCTGGCTCCTGGCTTTGAATCGGCACAGCTCTAGCCGTTGTGGCCATCTGGGGGGTGAACCATCTTATGGTAGACCTCTCTCTCTCTATCTCCATCTTCCCACCTCTGCCTCTGTGTAACTCTGCCTTTCAAATAAAATAAATAAATCTTTTTTAAAAATATTTATTTATATGAAAGAGTTACACAGAGAGAGGAAGACAGAGAGCTTCCATCTTTTGGTTCACTCCTCAAATGGCTACAGCAGCCGGGGCTGGTTCAAGCTAAAGCCAGAAGCCAGGAGCTTCTAGATCTCCCATGTGGGTGCAGGGGCCCAAGGACTTGGACCAGCCTCTGCTGCTTTCCCAAGCACATTCACAGGCAACTGGATTGAAAGTGGAGTAGCTGGGTCTTGAACTGGTGCCAGTATGGGGTGCTGGCATCGCAGGCAGCGGCTTTACCTGCTGTGCCACAGCACAGGCCCCTGGGGTAATTTTTAGGGCAGCAAGGAAATCCTGGTGACGCCAGGGGCTTCCAACCCTTTTCTGTTCCCATTACTGAAAGGCTGTAGGACGTGCTGGGGACACTGGGGCTGTCCTGTGGGAGGGCCCAGGACTAGAGACACAGAACGCTCAGCCTGACGTGTGAGCGTACACTGGGAAGCAGAGAAGGTGGACGTAAACACAGCTGGGGTTTGGGTGGAAGAGAGATGGCTGCCGGGAGTCGTCTTGTGTGTACATGAAGCAGACAGAGCCAGACCAGCGCACTGGGAACCGGTGGGGTGAGCCTGGCCGTGGTTAGGTTTTAAAGGTGTCCGGGGCTGGAGCTGCAGCTTCCAGCCGTGCCACCTCCTACTAGGTTGTTTCAGAGTCCCTGTTTCTCTGCCTGTGGTATGGGTGTGACAGTAACAACCGTCCCGTAGGGCAGCTGTGGAGAAAAGGAGCCCAGAAACACGGACTTGACCAGTCCCCGTCAGGAAAGCCTCAAGAGAGACTGAGCTTTGGGTGGGAAGAGCCACCCTCTGGGCTACGCCCGAGAGAAGTTCTGGGACTGTCCTTCCTTCACCTGCAGCCCTGTCGCTGTGGGCCAGCCGGACGTGGCCGGACGTGGCCGCCTGCACCCAGGGAGAGGCCCTGGGCCCTCATGTGACTGGGCAGGGCCTGCCTGGAAGAAAGCGTCCATGGAGGCAGGGTGCCGACGGCCTGCCCCCGGCTCGCTGCTTCGGGGGATGAGCTGTGTGTCGGAAATCCAGGAGCATTCTGTAAGCGTCCCCAGCTGGCCTGCCCGGCCATGCTGTAGCCCTGGCATTCAGTGTGACTGGCGGGGCTAGCCATGTTCTCCTTCCAGGAAAATTGAGAGGTCAGGTCCCGTGTTGTGGGTGTGTGGTTTCCTTTTAAGTTGGGTTTAAGTCCCAAAGGCAGGAGGGGTTCTCCATGCTTGCTTGTTGCTGGAACCCATGTCCTCATCGAGGCCAGTGACGAGTGGAAAAACACATGCAGTCAGTTTCCCTGCTGCCCGAGCCAGCCGCGGTCCTTCTTAAAGAAAAAGAGGGAGGAAGCAACCGGGGGATCTTACACGTGCGGGGCACCCTGCCCTGTCTCTACCACGGCACAGCTGTGAGTCCCTGGAGCCAGGGAGACAAGAGGCGGGGGCCCATGCTACACGCTGGTGCAGAAACTCGGTGCGGCCTAACGCACCCCTAGGGCCATGGCACTGTTTGCTTTATCCTCGGCCTTGAGCTGCCAGTGGCCTCACAGGTGCCAGAGCCACCCCCGCCTCGACACCACTTGTCAGAATGCCAGCTGAGGTGTGGCAAGGAGCCCGTGAGGTTGCAAGGGCTGAGGGGCGGCTCCTCTGTTGACCGCCTTGGACAAAGTGTTGTTTACTCAGGCTGTCTTTGGACTCCCAGAGCATGCACACATTCCCCAGTCACCTGACCAGAGAAACACTGGAACCCAGAATGGAAGTGGGAAAGGAGCGGAGGCCCTTGGCAGCTCTTGTCGCACAGAGAGGGTGCTGGCAGGGAGAAAGGTGCAGGGTTCTGGGGCATTCGGGAAGGGTGCTCTTCTGCCTGGACACACCAGAGACTGCAGTGGGCTCTGCTGGGGCAGGGGTGGCCCAGGTGAGAGCCGTACCCTGTTCTGTGTGCCGCTCCCCAGGTGTCTCACAAGGAGAGCGAGGAGGCCCTGCAGAAGCGCCTGGACGAGGTCAGCCGGGAGCTGTGCCGCGTGCAGACCAGCCATGCCAGCCTGCGGGCGGATGCCGAGAAAGCCCAGGAGCAGCAGCAGCGGGTGGCTGGTGAGGGCAGTGCCCTGGCGGCACCCCACTTGGGCTGGGGTCTGGGCTGGGGTTCTGTGCAGGAAACAAGCCCTGCCAGAACCCAGTGAGCCAGTCGTGGGCCCTGTGAAGTGTGGGGTATGGGGCTAGGGAAAGGAACACTGGGATGTGCACTTCTGGTCGCTCTGGTGCTGGTGGGAAGTCGACCGCAGGGGTGCAGGGGCCGGGGGACGTCCAGGAGGAGGCTTCTGTGGTCACCCAGGCCCCAGTGACAGGGTTGGCCCAAGGCCATCAAAGCAGTGCTGGAGCAGACGGGACCGGCCTGGCAGACGGTGATGGTGGGAAGCAGAGCAGCCAGGAGCAGGCCGGGGAGGCCGGGATCCGGGTTGGAGTCACGTGGACAGAGCTGCGTTGGGAGGTGGCCAGCAGCAGAGCCTGAGGTGGGGCTGGGCGGAGGACGAGGCTGCTGGCGTCCACAGAGCGCTTTCTAGGGGCCTCTGGCCAGGGTGCTCATCGCTGCCCCGGCCATGCAGTTGCGAGCCAGCGTTTAGGTCAGTGAGACCCCGTCAGTGGTCTGAGGGTCTCGGGACAGCACTGTGGGCGGCTTTCTGTATCAGCTGATGAGGCTGGGTGCTCCTGAGTCTGTCTCGCCCCCTCCGCAGCCTGCTGCAGCACACACAGGAGCCGGGGAATGAGCCCCTGGGGGCAGTGCTCCGTGTGTCCAGCCCCTGACCCTCACTCGCTTCCCTGTCCTGCGACAGAGCTGCACAGCAAACTGCAGTCCTCTGAAGCGGAGGTGAAGAGCAAGTGTGAGGAGCTGAGCGGCCTCCACGGGCAGCTCCAGGAGGCCAGGGCGGAGAACTCACAGCTCACGGAGAGGATCCAGTCCATCGAGGCCCTGCTGGAGGCGGGCCAGGCTCGGGATGCCCAGGTCAGCCACTCCCCTGGGTGCCCAGGCGGCCCCCGCTCCCCCTGCCTCCCCAGTGCCTGTGTGAGTGAGTCTCATGGAGACCAAGGAGCTGTCTGCCTCTCATTCCAGGCCAGCCGAGCAGAAGCAGAGCAGCAGCAGGCCCGGTAAGCCGGTGAGGGGAGGTGCTCGGGCTCCTGTCCACTTGTTTCCATCTCAGCTGCAGGGCAGAAGGCCCTGGCAGACGGGGCCTCTAGGGTCCCCTGGCGGAAGAGCTCCTTCCAGGGGTGGCACAGGCCTGGGTGGGGACACGGCAGCCTGCAGAGAAGAGCTCCTTGCTCCTTGCAAGGAGTGGAACTCAGCCGAGCCTCTGGCCTCCTGGCCGCTGCTGGCTGCCCGGCTGCCGTCTCCTGGTGGGGAAGGGGGGCTGGCCAGTCAGGTCCCTCCCCCTCCACAAGGCAAGGGGTCCACGGACTGAGCTCAGTGACCCAAGCAGGAACGTAGTTGCACAACCAGAGGGGAGACTTTGGGAGGCGCCCATGCTGCTTGCTGCACCAGATGTTTGGGACACGCGAGTAGTCGGAGCGAGCACACCACGCAGCGACTGCTCTGCTGGCCAGGCCTTGTTTTCCTTCCTGTCAGCTGCCCCAGGCTGTTCCTGGGGACTTTCTGGTTTGCCCACACTTGAGTGCCTGTTGTGGTGGCAATCCCCTCTGGGGCTCGCTTCCCTGGGTAGCTGCCCACAGGCCTGGACGCAGGCCCTGGTTGTCCACAGGGCAGTCGCAGGGAGTCAGGGGTGCCTTGGGTCTCGAGCAGTGTTGCTCAGGGTCCCTGTGGGGTGGTGACTGCGTCGTGAGTCTTCTGAGGGCCAGCTGGCCTGTGCTGTGGTCCCCAGCAGGCCCAGAGCTAGCAGGAGCCACACACCAGGCAGCAGGGCGTGGCTCAAGGGGCAAGAATGTCCTGGGAATCTAGCTGCCCGGGGCTTATCCGGTGCTGGCCGCTGTGGCAGGAGGGGCAGGGTGGCAGCTGGAGGGGCTGTCCCTGGCTGACTGGCCCCGCCTCACAGGTGCTCCCTGACTGTGCTGGGTGGCCTGGGCTGAGGAAGGGGGCATGCCCAAGGCAGGACCGTGCGGGCCATGGACACTTGGAGCCGTGGCAGTGACCTCAGTGTGTCCCCTAGCCTCAGGGAGCTGGAGGCCCAGGTGTCTTGTCTGGAGAAGGAGGCCACGGAGCTGAAGGAGGCCGTGGAGCAGCAGAAAGGAAAGAACAACGTGAGTGGGGGCCGCTGAGCCGGGCTGGGCTGGCAGAGAGGCTCTGCGATCAGCCTTGGGAGGCTGCTGGGTGCCCGCCCCGCTGCCCAGGGCAGCCCACGCCTGCTTCTCCTAGTGACTCCGCCCGAGCGTGGCGCCGTCCCTGTGCTGATGGGCCTGGTCTGGGAATAGGGGATGTAGCAGCCAGGCAGGTGACACAGCTGCTGCCCGCACTGCTACAGGAGGCCTCAGCCACAGACTTCCCACCTGCTCTTCCCATGAGGCTGCGTGGTGGCCGGAGCCCCCTCCCCCAGAGCCTTCCTGAAGGGGTGCTCTGCCTGGGGCCTGACCTGCACTGCAGCGGCTGGAACGTGAACATGCTGTCCCTTTGAGGGTCCCTCCTCGGGCCCGGAGTGCTGTTGGGCAATTTTGGCCATGCCAGTGACAGCCGTGCTGGCCGCTGACTTTCTCCGTGTCTCCCTCCCAGGACCTCCGAGAGAAGAACTGGAAGGCGATGGAGGCGCTGGCCTCGGCCGAGAGGGCCTGCGAGGAGAAGCTGCGCTCCCTGACCCAGGCCAAGGTCAGAGCCTGGCCTGCCCTCAGCCTCACCTGCTCATCAAGCCCATGCTCGCCCAGCAGCACCGCCTGCCACGGGCAGACACACAGAGCAGGCGGCTGCGTACAGGGCAGGGTGGCCTCGGAGCATCATGTAGACCTGCGCCGGGCCCCCAGCCCCTGTGTCTCCTCCTCTTCACTTCTCCCACCCCTCTGTCCCCTCTTTACATTGTTCTTCGGGTGAAGGGGCAGGATACCCACCCTTGCGTGACTGCTCAGCTGAGCCTTCTGCTGTGAGGGTGCGAGGGCTGAGTGCGGCCACCAGGGCAGAGACAGAGGCCATGGGCTGGGAGCCCAGTGCCCGCACCGCCTGAGCGAGCCTGCTGTTGAGCCCGTCTCAGACTCCTTGCCTTTTGTCCTGTGACACTTGGCAATCCTGCTTCTTTCCTGGGCCCTCTGAGATGGCGCAGAAGTCCCGTCAGTGACTCAGTCAGCTTTTAGTAAGCCACAGGGGCTGGGGCTCCCCTAGCAGTGAGCACATCAGGAGGGAAGTCGCCTTGGTCCCTCGCTCTGGCTGCCTCCCGGTGTCGGCCCTGGGCTGCACAGGAGCCAGCACACAGGGCTGGGATGGGCAGCCCAGTGGCTGCTGCAGCCCTCGCCCGCCCCTCTCTGTCACCCGTGCCCATCCTTTCTGAAGCACACCCTTCCTAGTGTTACCTGAAACAGGAGCTTTGCAGTGCTCCCCAGGAAGCCGGAGTCGAGGCAGGACGGAAGGGCAGCCTTGGGCTGGGCCACTAGGGCTGTTAGCCCCTAGGTGACCTCAGGGAGCAGCCGGCAAGACCAGAAGCTATGGCCACAGTGTCACCTGCCTGACTTAGAGTCACACGGGCAGAAGCAGCCCCAAGTGGGCCTCCAAGTTGTCAGCAGATTGCCTGAACTGCCGCGACTGTGGGCCTCGTGGGGGTCTCAAGGGCAGGGGTGCACAGCAGGCCGCCCATGTTACTTGTGGACAGTGACTGAGGCGGGCAGGGTGTACCACCGGGGTGTGAGTCCGACCAGCGGTGCCTGGTGGGGCTGGACGGCCCTTGGCACCGGCTGCACGCTGCTTTCCCGATCACTGCACGGTGGGTTTAGCCTCTATCGGCCCTGCTCCACTTGGAGTTCCTGGTGCTGCTCCTGGGTCCCCGGCTGTGCCCGGGTGGTGACAGGGCCGGTGGTGGGTTCCGTCTGCTGGGGGCAGGTTATTAGATAAAGCTGCCTGTTAGGCAGGTGGGGGCCGCCGATTTCTGTCCAGAGGATGCTGCCATCCTGGTCTGTGCCCTGTGGCCCCTTCAGTGCTGCTTCTGTTCCTTTCCCTTACACCTGTGGCGGGGGGGGGGGTGGGGCTTTTCCCTGGGGAGGCCATGGGGCTCTGGGCCGGCCAGTTCCCCTCACCCTGTGGCTCCTGGCAGACTGCCATTCTCTGCTCTGGCCCCCCCACGTCCCAGCTCTTTAAGACACTGGACTGTGGCTGTTCTCCTGCCCTTTGTAAAAACAAAAACATCCATGTTGTTTGAAAGGCAGAGACTGAGAGATGCACAAAGATGTTCCATCCACTGGTACTCCCCAAATGTCCCCAGCCAGCCCAGCGGGGCCAGGCTGGAGCCTGGAGCCTGGAACTTAAACCAGGACTCCCATGTGGGTGCCGGCGTCCCAAGCTCCATCTTAGCTGCTGCACCAACCGCCCATTCCCTCTTCCATTCTGCCCCCCTCTGTCAACTCTCGCACCCGTGACTCCACCCCTTCATGGAGAACTCAGAAAACGAGGGTGCATTGAACCTGGGCGCCAGCACCTGTTGCCCCCCACTGGTTAGCGCTTCGTCTGTTTAAATGGATCCAGTACAGGCCGGGGCTTAAACAGCGCTGCCCTGGTCAGCCCCGTGGAGCCACCTTGGCTTCTTGGATTCTCATCCCTCTCCTGAGGCTGCTGAGGTCAGCCCAGGTGGCCAGCAGCCGCGCCGCCACCCCTGCCCAGGTGCCCTAACCCTCGGGCTGAGCGCCACCCTCCACTCCCGCAGGAGGAATCGGAGAAGCAGCTCCGCCTAACTGAGGCCCAGACCAAGGAGGCCCTGCTTGCGCTGGTGCCAGAGCTGTCGGGCTCAGCACACCAGGTAGGAGGGCGGCTGGCCCCCAGGGACCCCTGCGCCCAGGGAACGCCCCCAGGCCCACCTTGCATATTTCATTGCAGAGTTACACCGAGTGGCTGCAGGAACTCCGAGAGAGAGGCCCTGGGCTGCTGAAGCAGCCTCCTGCTGCCACGGAGCCCTCCTCGGTAAGCGAGGCCCTCCCCTGGCTGCAGGAGGGGAGGGTGCCGCAGTGGGGCAGCAGCTCACCAGGCCCTGCGCCCCTCCTCCCACCCCCACAGGACCTGGCCTCTAAGCTGCGGGAGGCCGAGGAGACGCAGAACACACTGCAGGCCGAGTGCGACCAGTACCGCACCATCCTGGCAGAGACGGTGAGTGGCCGGGGGGCTTTTCCCTGGGGAGGCCATGGGGCTCCCCTTACATCCTGTGGCTCCTGGAAGACTGCCATTCTCTGCTCTGACCCCACCCCTGTCTGGGGCCCTGCAGGGTGGAAGGCAGCGTGGTGTCAGGCTGGCTCTGGGCCCCCCCCTCCCCTCTGCAGCCCCATGGCTGCGCCTGGTGCTCTCTGAGGGCCTGAGCTGAAGCTTTGGGGCTGATCTTGCAGAAAAGAGACTTGGTTACGGGAAGCAATTAGCAGCCGGTGTTGACTGGAACCCTGCTCCTCGGGACTTCAGGAGCTGTACCAGGTCCAGCCCTTCACTCTGCCCAACCTGTCCTGGGCCCCTGATGGGGCTGGCACCAAAGGCAAAGCCTCAGGGCCCCATGCAGTCATGACCCTGCAGGCATCTGCATGGTGACCAGGACCGAGGCCTTGTCCCTCCCCAAGTTAACACCAAGGCGCCAGAGCAGGGCAGGTGCCGGCCCCTTCAACAGGAGCTGGGGGCACGATGTGGGGTGGGGCCGTGGAGGAGAGGGCCCTGCCTCAGCACGACCCCCTCCCCACCCAGGAGGGCATGCTCAAAGACCTGCAGAAGAGTGTCGAGGAGGAGGAGCAGGTGTGGAAGGCGAAGGTGGGCGCCACAGAGGAGGAGCTACAAAAGGTAGGCAGAAGCCATGCGTAACCTACCCAGGACACCGGAGGGCCCAGGTTCCGGAGCCCAGGGGAATGTTGATAAGAGACTTGGGTGTCACCATTGCCATCTGTCAGGGCGCAGAACACGGCACTGCCATCCCCAAGGGGCCCTGCTGCCCGGGGATTGGCTGTTGGGCAGCCAGGGCCCATGCTTGTCTTGGGGTCCCCTGGGAGCCTGCCGACCCGGGCGAGGCGCCTGTGTGTGATGGGCCCTTTCCCTGGCTTTGCAGTCGCGGGTCACCGTGAGACATCTCGAAGAAGTTGTGGAGAAGCTCAAAGCAGAGCTTGAAAGTTCAGATCAGGTAGGTGGGAGCCGTGCCCAGCAAGCGGCTCCATCTCAGAGAGGATCATGGGGGCCACGGGCAGGTGTCTGCCCCCAGGGACCACGAGTCGTGAGACCTTGTCCTCAGTGTCCGCATGGCTATCGGAATGGGGGCGCCCAAGGGAGCCCCTCTGCTCTTTCAGTCACCCCGGGGAGCGCCTGCTTTGTCTCTGTGGGTCCTGAGGCCGGCTGCTCCCACACTTGGCAGTCCTGGGGCTTGGGGTGCCGTTTCCAGGAGAGGGCCTCTCGCCATGGCCTTGTTGCTTGCTGGCCTCGGTGGAACCAGTAGCTGACGGGCCCCAAGCTTTCCTCATGGCAGGCCAGGGTTGGTCCGGAGCGGCCCTGACATCAGCTCGTATCCGTCCAGGTGCGGGAACACACCTCGCATCTGGAGGCGGAGCTGGAGAAGCACATGGCGGCTGCCAGCGCCGAGTGCCAGAACTACGCCAGGGAAGTGGCTGGGGTGAGTCTGCCTGCCCGCCAGTGGCCCCTGGCCCCTGGGCTCTGGGCCCTCCCTGGCCCCTGGGTGCAGCTCTTGGCCCGAGCTTCCAAGGTTGGGTTTCGAGGCGTTTGCCTCCGTCCCTGCACATACCTGGCTGGACCATGAGAACTGCAGAAAGGCATCCTGAAGCCAGGGCCGGGCACTGTGCCAGCCTTGCCCGTTCCAGGTGCCCCCTCTGTGGGAGTGGTCGCCTGGCTTGCTGACGTTTCCGGTGGGAAGTGGGTTTAAATCGGTCGCTGCTTTCCGACTGTTCAGAGGCGGGAAGCAGAAACAGGCACACTCTCTCTGGGTTAGTCTCAGCCCCATGGCCTGAGCCTGGGAGCGGGCGGGCCCGGGGCAGACGGTAGGTGTGCTGGCTTTGTGTCTGCATGCCGACTGCCTCCCTCTCCCCCCAAGTTGAGGCAGCTGCTGCTGGACTCTCAGTCCCAGCTGGATGCGGCCAAGAGCGAAGCGCAGAAGCAGAGCGACGAACTCGCCCTGGTGAGTGGCCTGGGGACCCCCTCGCCGCAAGGCCAGGTTAGCCAGGGTTAGGTGGGTGTGAGACGCCTGCCACCTGCCAGAAGCTAGCACAGCTCAGCAGAAGGGGCGCCACCGACGTAGCTGCAGGGGCTGGTGGGTGCTTCTCCCCTGGCAGCGTGCAAGGAGCTCCTCTCTTGTGAGCCCACTCCTGTGGTCACCCCATGGCTCTAGGCAGGTCCCTTGCCCTCTGGGGGTTTCCTCATCTCGGCAGCAGCTCAGACCGAGTGAGCCACACCACAGGTGCGCAGGGAACACCCTGCCATGCCAGCCGAGTTGAGCCCAGCTTTCAGTCATGGCATCTGATCCCATGACCCAGCTTTCTGGGGCCTCGCCGCACCCAGCATGGACGCAGCTGTGTTGCTCCAGCTTTCTGCGAGGAGGGGTCTGGTGTGTGGGGCCAGCCTCCCGCGCAGCATGCCCGCCTGGGCTTCCCAGGCTCATCCTGACTCGAAGGATACTTGTCGCACACGCTGGCCACACAAGGGTCAGGCTGAGTCCCCAGGAAATGGCTCATGCCATCTCCTCTACAGCTTCTTGGCCTTGAGCTGGCCAGTGGGGCTTTTGCTTTTAGGGGTGCTGGGAGGGAGGGGAGGCTGTTGAGGTTGCCCCTTGAGGCCGGACCTTGTGGATGGGGCCCAAGACCACCCATACCCTTGGGGAACTCACACTAAGGGCCTTGTCCAGGGCTCCCACAGGAACTGGGCCCTAGCCGCTTGAGTGACACTGCCCTTCAGATCAGAGGCCCCGCCCCCAGTGAGCCCAGGATGTCACCCAGTCTCCTGCAGCCCAGGAGCGGGGGCCCTGAGCAGAGGACCATGGCTTTTTTTTTTTTTTTTTTTTTTATAAGATTTATTTATTTAAAGAATTACAGACGAGACAGAGGTCTTTCATCTGCTAGCTCACTCCCTGAATGCCGCAATGGCCAGGGCTGAGCCAGGCTGAGGTCAGGAGCTTCTGGGTCGTCCCTCGGTTTGGCTCACACTGGAGGTTCTGTTTCTGGCCCCACCCCTCTGCACATGCCTGGCGGGGTGGGGACTTACACACAGGTCCCGGGACCAGACCAGGCCCCTCCAGGAGCCTCAGCCCTCCGAGGGCCTTGAGTGAGTGCGCGCGAGGTAGACGCGAGACCGGCCGTGTGTTTGCACAAACCCACCCCTCCCTGTTTCAGGTCAGGCAGCAGTTGAGTGAGATGAAGAGCCACGTAGAGGATGGTGACGTAGCTGGGTCCCCAGCTGCTCCCTCAGAGGACCCTGTACAGGTTAGGGCGGTGAGCTGGCCCCGAGATGTTTCACTAACCCCAGGTGGAACCTATTCTCACCTAACCCTGCACCATGGTCCCTGGCCCACTTTGCCCAGAGCACGAGCACCCAGGGTCTGAGAGACACAGAGTGAGGGCAGGGCAGGAGCCAGGTGGAGAGGCCCTGAGCCGTGAGGGAGGGACTCGAGGATGCGGTGTGGCCGCCACCAGGCAGGGGAGGTGCCTTGGGCAGGGGCTGCTGCTGCTGAAGGGAGTTGGTCTGCCCTTGGGGTCCGAGGGCAACATCTGCTCTCCGGAGTTTTGGTCCAAGTACCAGCTGGGCCTCACAGGCAGGGTTCAGGGAGCTGTCACCGGGAAGGCTGTGGCCTGGCTGTCAGATGTTTCGTCCTGTGGTCTCTGAGGTCACAGACACATCCCCCCATCCCAACGTCTCTGCAGAGGGGAGCTCTGGGAACCACTTAGATGGGTGGAAGCCAAGGAAGCACAGAGGCCGCTGGAGGGGGCCCAGTCTCGGCCTGCCCAGGAGCCCTGGGTTCCCAAGGGTCCTTCACTGGGTTCCCACGGTCCTTGTGTTCCCACGCAGCTGAAGACGCAGCTGGAGCGGACAGAAGCCGTCCTGGAGGACGAGCAGTCTCGGCGGCAGAAGCTCACAGCTGAGTTTGAAGAGGTGAGGCCCTGCTCATGGACCTCCGCCCATTCCCCCGGGAACCAGTGGTCATCACCACCCTGCCTGCTGTGGCTGCCACCGGGCCTTGCGCACGCAGGGGGTGGGTGCACAGTGGGTCCAAGGCTGCCCTGACTGCTGGTGCTCTGCACCACTCTGCTGCCTCCTTGCCTTGGGGCCCCACTACCCATGCTGGCCACAGGCTGGGTGCTTCTATCCCCAGGGGCCAGGGGGTGTGCCTGCTGGTGCCAGTGAGGCCTCACCCTGTCTGGCTCCCCTCCCCAACAAGGCTCAGACAGCAGCGTGTCAGCTACAGGAGGAGCTGGAAAAGCTTCGCGCCACCGGCCCCCTGGAGTCCCCAGGCGCAGAGGAAGCCGTGCAGCTGAAGGTAGGGGCTGGCTGGGGTGTGTGCCAAGGCCGGGGCCCTTCGTGGCCTCGGAAGGGTCAGCAGGGGAGAGCCAACCCCGCCTGGGCCAGCTCAGGCACCACCTGCATGGGGGCTGGGAGCCATGCTGAGGCCCCTGAAGCAGGTCCAGCCTTGCAGGGAACGTGGGGGACCAGGCCTTTCCTCTCTGGGGGACAGAAACTGCCCCCAGCACTCCAGTCCCCAGAGGGTAGGACCTGTGGGCATGGCTCTGTACACGTGACCCCCTTGGACCTCCTGTGCTGCAGGAGCGACTAGACAAAGAGAAGAAGTTAACAAGTGACCTGGGGCGCGCTGCCACCAAACTGCAGGAGCTTTTGAAGACAACCCAGGAGCAGCTAGCAAAGGAGAAAGACACAGTGAAGAAACTGCAGGAGCAGCTGGCAAAAACAGTGAGTGCTGCTCACGCGGGGCCGCCGTGCTGGCCTCCAGGGGCTGTGGGAGGTGCTGGGAGCCCCGGAAGGCAGGACAGGTAGGACCAACCACCCTGGGCGGGGGGGGTGAGGACAGACTTGTCACCTGGCCAGCAGCCCATAAGGCCTGGTCCTTACTCCACGCCTGCACGGACCCTTCTGTCCTCAAGCCCCACAGGCCCAGAGTCTGGTGGCCCAGCCTCCCCTTCACACTGCTCTCCACTATCCACAGGACGGGAACGGCGCCAAGGAGGGTACCTCCGTCTGAGTCTCCTCTGCCGAAGACCCTACTGTTAACTTTACCAAAATGCCTTACACATTCCTTTTACAAGTAAATCAGCCAACCGCCACAGCGTTCACCAGGCCCACCCTCCAGGGGCTCCGGGAGAAGCCATCAGAGACGAAGCTTGCAGACTGCCATTCGTCAAAGAACCTTTGTCTCGGTGGATAAACACTATGCCCGCGAGCCCAGCAGCCCTGGATGAGGGCTGCGCAACTCGGGCAGATCCTGGGGGTTAGCTGGGAGGCCGGGAGCTCGGATCTCCATGGCAATCAGTGCAATTGTTGTGTCTCCGCAGTGGGGCGGGAGGCAGCCGGCCCGGGCCAAGTGCTCAGAAGCTGCAGGGCAAACTGGAGGGCCGCAGCCCAGCCCCACTCAGCCTGGCTGCAGCCCCTGACCCCTGCGAGTTGCCAACCGGAACTGGTGTTACCTCCTGGATGTTAATGCCATTAAAACCAACGTTGTTGCCCAGCGCAGAAGTGTCGTCTGGTGCTGGGGCGCCCCCTGGGGGAGAGAGCAAGCTTGGGTCTCAGTTCCCTTGAGGGGACTGACAGCTCTGTGAAGCATGGGGATAAAACTTGCTGCTTCCTGCCCTTCCCATCGCCTCACAAGGGAGCAGGGCCTAAGACCCTGGTGGCCAGATGCGCTGACCACCCTCCCCTACCCATGAGCAGAGCTGTGGGTAGCCTGCGTGAAGTGAGCCCAGCAATGCACAGGGGGCTTGGCTGGCAAGGTCCATACCTCAGGAGGGGGTGGTACTGGCCAGAGAAGCACCTGGAAGCAGAGCCTCACAGGTGGAAGACCGGGTGTCCTTGGAAACCCGCAGCCAGGGCTCCTGGTTCCTGAGGGAAAACAACAGGAGCAGGAACTGACGCAGAAGAGGCTCAGTCAGCACAGTGCCTGGACCAAGCCAGGAAAGGGAGGTGGGCCTGAGTGGCAGGTGGCAGGCGCCAGGCAGTTATGTCCCGGAGCTGCCTCCCAGAGCTGCTCCACTTCCTTTCCCCTGGCCAAGCCTCGGAAGCCTAAGGAGGTGCCGGCTGGCCAATGGCTGAGCAAAGCTGGGCACTCAGACAGCACTTGCAGGGGTGGGGAGTAGCGGGCCTACAGCCAGAACTGCCCTGGGCTTCTGCACCCCCACGGTCCCTCCAGTGGTAGGTGCAACTCTTCTGGGAGTGTCCCTACCCCCCACAACCCCCAACTGAGCCTGGGTGTGGCCCTTGCTAGCCTGTTGGAAACAAGGTGCTAGGAGTCTGGGAAGTACCTCCCTCCAAGAGTGGGCTTAACCTGGAGCTCACCAGAAAAGGTGGCACTTGTTGGGAACCGCAGGCACAGAGGTTCAGGTATGCTCGGGGGTGAGGCAGGGAGGGGAAAGCACCAAGGAGCCACGTGGTGAAAGGCAGGAGGTGCACAGAGGGTTTCTCAGCAAGGGCAGACAGCACCTGCAGAACTCTGAGGTGGCAGAAGGGGCTGGAGCGCCGACCCCCTGGTTTCTGGCCAGGAGACAGTGGGAGGAAGTGACCAGTGCCCAAACCTGATGCCTGTACCCGCCCAGACCAAACCCCATGGAAATGAAGGGACCTCACCTGGTAACAGGTCAGGTTTCAAATCCACCTCCACACTTAACACTGGGCAGTGCATCAGCAACCTGGGTGAGTCAGGATGGGAGGGAAGACACTGGTTTTAGACTGCCATGAATAGCAGCTGCTGAGCCCCACAGTGCCTCAAAACGGACCCTGTTGTGTACCCAGTGCCGGAGGGCAGGCTTGTGGGGGGGAGTCCAGTGTACCAGTGGCCTTGGGCAAGGTCAGTCGTTTGGGGCCGTGGTGAGTGGCTGGGGAGCAGGCCAGACCTGTGCCTGCATCGGGACTCTTGGATTACCACAGTGGGCCTGGGAGCCTATGTTCCCAAGGATCGCCTCCCTGCCACACCGCAGACTTGGAGGCTCTGCTGAGATGCCCTCAAGGCCCAGGACTGCAGAGGGAAAGGGAGACCTTGGAGAGACTAGGATGCTGGGGGTGCCAAGCTCTGCCTTTGGGCTCCAAGAGAGCAGTGACTGCGCCCTGGATTCTGGCTACAGTCCCTCTCCCCAGCACAGTGAGAGCCCAGCGTCTGGCTCTAGGGCAGGAGAGGACAAAAGCAGCTGCAGTACATGTTGTGCGGAGCCCCCATCCGGCTGGCCTGGCCAATTCCCTAAGATGCCCCTGAGGGAAACTTCCGCCTGCAACCTGCACTCCTACCATAGTCCAAAGTTCTGCCCGCCTGCCTCCGCGGCCCTGAGGCCCAGCAGTGGCACCTCCCAGGCCAGCAGAGGGAGCCTGAATCTGCCAGGCATCAGGCAAGCCTTGCCCCCACACCTTCCAGGACAAAGTTCCACTCCAGCAGACAGCGGAGTGCTTGCGAGAGTCAGCATGCTACAGATTCCACAGGAGCCTGGCTCGTGGCCTGTCCCACAGTGTGGTGCTTGGGCAGCCCTGGACAGCTGGCTTCCAACAGGAAACGCTGGTCTTCCAAGTCCAAAAAAGCCTCCCTTAAGGGTGAATCCAACCAAGATCCCCAGAGATGAGCCAACACTTCGTGGAGGCCCACACACCCCGGAAGCAGCACCGCGATTACTGGAAGCCCGTCGTGCAGACAGGGCTCATAAGCCAGCTGACTGCTCACCTGTGGGCTACTGACCATAACGCACAGGCCCAGGGTCTGCAGGCAGCAGCTGGAGGAGGGAGCAGCGCAGGGCAGGCAGATGCGTAGGCCAGCTCCCGTCAGGTTTTGGTCAGCCCAGGGAACAGAAGAAATGTCTCCCTTCTTGTCCCTTTCACATCTCCTTTGGTAGCTCTGAGTTCCAGATGTTAGAAATGACCTCACCAGAGGGGGGAAGGGAATGGCTCAGATGAGAAACCAGGAGATGCAGGGTTTTGTCCCAGCTGTCACAAGTCAAGTGACCTGTGGCAATTACTTTACCTCTGGGCTGGCTACTAAGGGGACTGGCCAGAGTCCAAGGAGAGCCCTGGGCAGCCAGCCAGAGCACCGCAAGTTAGAAGCCTGGCTTCCGGAACACCCTCTCATCACTCTGCCACCATGCAATCCATGTCCCTTTTTCCGGCTGCAGCCCAACTGGGACCCAGTCCAGGGCCTATTACATTTCAGAAACAGCCCCGATCACAAAGCAGTATGTCCTTGGCGCATCCAGGCTCCGATGGCCCAAAGGGCAAGGCACCTGTCAAGGAGAAGCTGCCTTCCCAGGTGTGGAGCAGCCAGTACTCGGGGCAGTTTCACATGAAGGAGCCCACGAGACTGGACCGAATTCTGCTATCCACGTCAGTGTGTTCGCTGTGTCCTCAGAGACTACATTCTCTGGAACAACAAACATCATGGGCAATCTCTGAATTGTTAGCACTGGCTTTACTCACCTCTCTAAAGGCCAAAGAGCAGCCACTAGGTATCTGAACCCTAAGTCAGCTTCCCATGCATACATTTTTGTAATGTGTTTGCCAGAAGCAGAGTATACCTGCAGTTTTACTTCTAATAATTGTCAACTGAGGTCTAAACCCCCATTTTGTATTGGCCCCAACCTCAGTTGCCCTAGGAGTGGGTGTTTGGCCTAGCAGCCGAGACACAGATTAAGGCACCTGCATCCCATCTGGGAATGCCTGGAGTCAGATTTCTAGCTTCAGCTCCTGATTCCAACTTCCTGCCAATGCTGATCACGCAAATAACTGGGTTCTTGCCATGCCGAGAAACTTGGAATGAAATCCTGGCCCCTGGCTCTAGTCCCAGCCTCAGCTAATGTGGGCACCTGGGGAGTAAACCAGCATGTAGAAGCTCTCTGTCTGAAATTACTTAAAAACAAAAAAACACCACTCCCCCAGGTAGAGAGATGTGTATTCATCAGCATCTTCCAAACTTCTGGACTAAGAGCAAAGTGCTGTGGGAGATGTCTGCGTCACATTACGTGCCCAGCAGCCTGCACTGCTGCAGCAGAGAACGGCAGGTACTGTAGCAGGGTCACACTCCACAGCAGAAACCACAAAACGGACTCTAACACACCTGACCCAAAACCTGGCTCTACCTACAGACTGCCAAGTAGGGCAGCCTTGGGCCTGCGCGGATTGCCTGGAGGCCTATTAACATACGGTCACTCACTCAAAACACTGCTTTGCAGTAAACAAATTCGGGATTAAAGAATGACAATCAGCCAGTACTGTTTTATAGTAAATTCTGAAAAAGATAAGCTTGGCATTTTGGGGAAATTTGGAATAAAAACTCCTGTCACAAATACTCAGGCCTCGATGTCTTACCCCACATGGAAGGCAAATTCACACATGAATAATTACACAAGAGATTAAGTTATAAATGCTTCCTTTATTACATAAAGCCAGTAACTGCTACTTCTAAGTTTGACTGTGCACCTCTATGTTGTTCAAAGTGTTTTATGCCTGTGATGTTTAATGACAATCACTTCCAATGTCATCCGTGGCACCCGCTCCCCGCTTCACAGCTGAGCAACAGCTCCCAGGCGCGAGCACACACTCAATGTTCTTCCACACTGTACTGTCCCAGAAACAGCAATGCTTCGACAGAGACGCAATTTTTAAAAAATCACAGGTGTCCTAGCTCATCAATATATCATTTTATCATTTTCATTAACAAAGCGCATTACAATGGAGCCCTAATTTGCATTGTAATTAGTTGTTACAAGACACTGCACATTCTCCTGAGGACACACCACCAATTCCAAGATGCAAGGTGACTCTCCAGTCTCCCCACCTGCGAGTAGCAAAGGCACCGCAGGTGCAGGAGCTGCTTCCATCGGCATGCCTGAAATAGTGCTTTTGCAAGATCAGCGTGAATCGTAAGTGGACACAATTTTGAGGCAATCTTCATTACACACTGGGTAGGATTAAAAAACTGCCCAACTTAATCTGTTATGTTAGTATATTAGTATTGTTATATATTATGGGGAGAATTATATTCCATTATTCTGTTTAGTTTCAGGAAGAATAAAGAATTTGAACCAAAATTATAACCAGATTATGACCAATTCTCTAAGCAAAGAAACAAATTAACTTAGGTCAACACAGATGCAATAATTCTCTTCACATGGCCTTGCCCCGTTTTGTGAACTGCATTATTAAAACTCCTGAGCTTAACAAAAATCTTTATAAGGCAACTCATCAAAACAAGCATGAGGCCAGTAAGAATTTAATTTCACACCAATAGAACTGCAGATCTAGATTTATTTAGGGCCATGATTGCACGTGTATAGAATATTTAGTTTACTCTAAAAGATTACAAGACAGCTCCCTCTCAGCAAGACCCTGGCCTAAATATATTTGCTTTACTTATATAGCAAGAAGAAGATAACATTACACATGGAAGCTTTCCATTTGTGGCACTGAATGATGAGCTACACAGGGCATCCTTCAAAAGCTACAATTAAGGATCCACCTAGCTTCTCTGCAATGCAAGCCCGATTGAGGTCTTCTGGCCCATTTGCTTGACATTCATGTTTTATCCCTAGGGAGGAAAAACAACAATTCTATTTAGAATTACAGCAGCAGCTTATCTATTTCTATATGACAAAGACCAGTTCTAGCAGGCATACTGTGACATTCACGAACCGTGGTATACAGTGATCTGTAACTAGGGGCCGGCACTGTGGTACAGCAGGTTAAACCACCACTCATGACGCTGGCGTCCTGTGCCGGAGTGCAGGTTTGAGTGCCAGCTACTCTGTTTCTGATCCAGCTACTTGCTAATGAGCCTGAGAAGACAGCAGAGGATGGCCCAACCACTTGGGCCCCCACAAGTCACATGGGACACCCAGATGGAGTTCCTGGCTCCTGGCATTGGCCCAGCCCAGTTATGGCTGTTGCAGTGGTTTGAGGAGTAAAAACAGCAAATAGAAGGTCTCCTGTCTGTCTCTTGCTGCCTTTCAAATGAATAAAACATGGTTTGAAAAAATATGTAGCACCATGAAAACTATGTAAAATGTGTTACAAACTGCTTTCTCAGAAAAATTTCATTGCCACCCTGGAAAACGAGCTCAACTACACAAGAATGCCGTCGCCTCTCTGTGAAGAGTGCATTCTAGGTCCATTTCTCAAGCTCTGCTGAAAGCAAAGCAGGTCAGCTTTTGGGTCACTCAGTGATGCTTAAATATAAAAAAAGACAACAAACGATCTTTTAATATCACCAAATCAAGTCTATGCAGAAAGTCCCTTTAGGAAAGGCAATGCACCACTCATCTGATGAGGAATCTCCTCTGAATCTTCCTGGTTTCACTGTGGAAATGTTGAAGTTTAAGGAGTCATTTAAAACACTGGTTAACAGAACACACTTCCAGGGAACACTCCAATGTCCAGACAAATGCAAGAGGAGCCTGACGCAGCACTGAACTATGCAGCAGCAGGGCTTAGGGAAGGAAGCAAGAATCTTGTTTTCCTAAGTCAAACAAACCACGGCAAACCTGTTCTGCTACGAGAACACAAAAACCAGTCTCAGTAAAACAAACAAAACTAGCGCTGGACCAAGCCCTTGTGACCCTGGCTCAATCAGATGTTTGAAAATAGTAACGGCAGGAAGGCAGTGGGGCAAACCCTTAAACTAATGCTTACTTTTGACCCCAACCACACCTTCCATTCTACAGCTGAGAGAATGACGGCCCACGGAGGTTAAGTGATGTTGGCTAAGGTCACACAGCAGTTAGACGACAAGCTTAGCCCCCAGTGCAGGCCTCTGGGCAATCACCCCATGCACTCTGCATCATACCCACGTTTCCTCTTGGCTGGAGTCTGGCTGGAGACCACATCAGGATCCCAATCCCCTAGTGGCAAAGTCAAATTTAACTGCCAGCTCGAGGAGTGAGTGCACTCGCCAGTGGACAGAGATGAATCAATTACCTAAAATCATACCAGTTCAACAGTAAAGCTACAGGTTAAGTTCTCCAAAGAAAATGAGGCGCTGCTGAGAAGAGCTGCAGCTCTCCATTCCAGGGACTCATCGCACGCTAAATGTGAAGTCAAGTCTAGAACCTACCTTGGAACTTCTTTTTGATTGCATCCTTGGAGCTTGCATAGATCATTTTACTTTTCAGAGGTGCTAGTTCTGGTGCCCTAGAAAGGAAGACACCAAAAATGAAGAAAGCCAGTTTAGAGAAAACACAACGTACACCTTGTTAAACAGCCTCCACGGGGAGGAAGGGGTGCTTGCCTCTCCTGAAAGCATTTCCCTAACAAGTAAAATTGCTTATCTCCCTGCCTCTTCCCAGAGTCATGTAATGGGTAGGCACACACAGTTACTCAGGGTGACAGCACAGTTTGTAAAAAGCCAGAGAGGGGCTGGCATGGTGGCGCAGCACACTGATCCCCTGCAACACCAGCATTCCCTAATGTGCCAGTTCAAGTCCCGGCCACTGCACTTCCAACCCAGCTGCCTGCTAATATGCCTGGATAGGCAGAGGAAGATGGCCCAAGTACTTGGTCCCCTGCTACCCAGCTGAAGCTCCTGGCTCCTGCCTGGCCCAGCCCCAGCTACTGAAACTGTTTGGGGAGCAGACCAGTACATGGAATGGTGATCTCTTTCTCCCCATCTAATTAACTCTGCCTTTCAAAAGAAAAATTAATCTTTTAAGAAAAAAAATTTTTTTGAAAAAGCAAAGTACCCTGGTTTAAAAAAAACACTATCAGTAATGTAGCTCTTCTTTTTAAATTTTTTTATCTGCTATGTTCAGCCTAACAACCACATATATTCAAGTTTTGAAAGTTTTTCTAGTTAGAGGAAGTTTCAGAACATAGAAGAAATACAGAGAACAAATGGTATCTGCCGTCCAGAATCAAGTATTTGGGCTTTTTTGCTGTAGAATGTTTACTAAAGAACAATAAACTGCAAATAAAGCAGAAGTCCCCTTCTCCTGAGTCCCTTCACTTCTATCTATTTCAACAGAGCCTCTCACAAAAGGATTGGTTTTCCTTTTCAAACTAACAATCAAAATCTGAGTGTCAACAATTCTCTGGAAAAAATACTAAATCCATATGTATAATCATAAGTCCATGGTACAGGGCACTTCAGCAATAACTACATATTGTCAGTATCACCATCTTGTACTTTCCAAGTTTTAGTGCCTTCTGCCTGGTGAACAGAAGCACACACACGCTTCACAACACTTTCTTCAGCAGTGCTGGAGAACCACGCAGTGGGTAACAGACTGCAACCCTTCATCACACTCAGACTGTTTATACGTCACTGTCTTCTTCCCTCTAGACCAAGCAGACCTCAGGCCTGGCTCTCTGCCACAGTCCCCACACGGAGCAGAGTGAAATGCTTGGGCACGTAAGGATTCCATTTAGCGGCCATGATCTGGGACGCTCTACAGCCAGAGGCCTCACCTGCTCCCACCCTGTGTGCAGCCTCTGGCCCTCTGATGCTCACAGGCTCCAGACCCACAGCCCAGTGAAGGGTCAAAGCCACAGTTGCCTCAGGACCAGCACATGTGTGAGCTGCAAAGGTAAGTGGGTACTTTTCTTACACAAATAGGCCAGGGACTGAGCTGAGTTCATGTAGCTAGATGGTTAAAATACTTTAAGAGCCACTCCCAGGACCCAGCTTCTTACAGAAAACGCCTGTAATAAGCTTTTATTCTTCCTTAAATTAATACTGCAAAATAAATCATTGCATTAACAATGATTTTCCCTTTCTTCTTTCTACTTTTCTTTTCCAAGCATTCTTCAGTAATCATGTATAGCTCTCATAATGAAGAAATTCATTAAAACCAGGAAAAAAATCTTCAAGTGGAGGAAATAGCAATTTAAGCGTATGTGCTTTTAGCTGGCTCATGTGACACTCCGCCGTAACACCCAGAATGGCAGGGACTCCACCCATGTATTCAGAGCTACTTTTTCAGGCTCTCACGCAATACAATGCGTTTAATGAACGCACCTTCATTCAAATCAAAATCATACTTATTTTAAATCTCACCAACTATTATCTTATGGAGCAGCCACAGTAAAGGTGAGTTCCAATACACGCACCCGAACTTCACAGCTGTGGTCCATACACACCCTTCTTGAACTCCGATTCTTTTGGCCTCCTAGCCCCACATCCCTTACACCTCAAGCTGCTGAGTGCACATGGCTAAAGGCTAAGTCCCTCTCTGCCTTGCACTGGCTCAGGACAAAGTACTGGAGAAAGTGTTCCCTCCTAAAAACTGGAGGGTGTCACCATCTCTTCCACTTGGAGTATTTTCATTAGGTGGCTACCTGACCCTAACAAGGAATGTAGTATGATGTCATTAAATGAGGATACAAGTGTGATTTTTCTCTATAGCTTCTATAGTTTAAATCAAATACTGATTTTATCTGAAAAACCCAAATAATTCCAGAAGAAGGCCATCCCAAACACTTTATAGCACCTTTTCATTATCTGGAGCATGGGTTGTAGGGAACCTTTTTTCTGCCAAGGGCCATCTAGATATTTGTTACATTTGTGGGCCATAAAAATTTATCAACTTAGGGGCCGGTGCTATGGCGTAGCAGAAGCTGCCGCCTGCAATGCTGGCATCCCATATGGGCGCCAATTTGAGGCCCGGCTGCTCCACTTCTGATCCAGCTCTTTGCTACAGCCTGGGAAAGAAGATGGTCCAAGTCCTTGGGCCCTTGCACCAGTGTGGGGGACCCAGAAGAAGCTCCTGCCTTCGGATCAGCACAGTTCCAGCCGTTGCGGCCAATTGGGGAATGAACCAGCGGATGGAAGACCTCTGCCTCTCCTTCTCTCTCCGTTTTAACTCTTTCAAATAATAAATCTTAAAAAAAAAAAAAAATCAACTTAAAAATCTGCAGAGCCAGCACTATGGTGTAGTGGGTAAAGCCACCGCCTGCAGTGCCGACATCCCATATGGGCAACAGTTCAAGTCCCGGCTGCTTCACTTCCGATCCAGCTCTCTCTATGGCCTGGGAAAGCAGTAGAAGATGACCCAAGTCCTTCGGGCCCCTGCACCCACATGGGAGACCTGGAAGAAGCTCCTGGTTCCTGGCTTTGGATTGGCACAGCTTCAGCAGTTGCAGCCACTTGAGGAGTGAACCAGCAGATGGAAGATTCTCTAACTCTTTCAAATAAATAAATAAACCTTTAAAAAATCTGCATACTTTAGATTTATTGAATTTCAAGTCCCACCTGTGGTTGCCTGGGCAGAATCAGATCAAATGATTTCAAAGGCCTTCCTTACACAGGACCATGGGCTGAACGTTTCCTACCCAATCCACAGCAACACTGTCCAACAAAGCTTTCTGCGATGGAAAATTCTACACCTGCATTACTCAATAAGGCAGCCTCTAGTCACGTGACTAGTGAGCATTTGAAATGTGTTAGTTTATTCAAATAAGAAACTGAATTTTAATTTAAATGAACTTAAAATCCACATGACTAGTGGCTGCCCTACTGTATAGTGTGCAATGTAGAGCAAATCACAATGAAGAGGCAACAGTGACAACTTCTGCCAAAGTGGCACACCACACAGGACAAGTAAGTTCAATTCTTGGCACGGCATGTTGGAGAGGTAGGATTCTGGCTTACAGAAAATGTTAGTAGAGACTGGAATCTTTAGCTTATAATCAGTAAATTCAGAGCCGAAAGAGAAATCTACCTTCTCTGCCCTTGCTTCACCCAAAAACAAAACAACACAAAACACAATTATTGAAAAGTCACATTCTTTCAAGTAGATACAGTAGTGAAAATTTGAGTCCCAAAAGCTAAGCCCTTTCAAAACCTTATAAACAAAAATTAGATTATAGTGACTGCAAATAGCTTGAATAAAAATGGTCCTAGAACCAGTTCTCTAAGAGCTGACAATGAGGGACTAATCCAAGTTTCCCTGAGGCCAATATTTTTAACACACTTACCACAAAAAAAACATCAACTCTTCTTTTCTGGATTCCTTGGTTTCAAAGCTGGCATCATACAAAGCATAGCGACAATCTTTTTCAGGAAGCATTCCTACAAAATGCTTGAAAGGATCGGTTATGGTCACACCAACATCTCCAACCAAGATCTCCTTGCCTTCTTCTACAATGATGCACTTTTTGTCTGCACTGAGACAAAAAATGACAGCCTTCTTTCTCTTCTTGATTTCTTCTGGTGTGGAGCATTTCCGAACTTTCATGTCATAAAATATGCGACATACTTCATCAGCAACTTGTACTCCTGAGGCCTATCATGAGAAAACAGATGAGGCTTAGAGTTTTTATCATGCAAATACAAAACACTTTTAGTTATAGACTGGCATATACTTAAAATGTTTTACATATACTTACTAGTCAATGAGAAAATATGAGCTGAAACCACTAATTTCAGAAATCAAACTTTGCTAAAAATTACATACATAAGGCAGTCATCAGTACTTGGGGGGGGGGGGGAGTGTGTGTGTGGGGGAAGATTCGGCTACAGCAGCCTCTTGGACCCTAAACCTAGAAAGCAATGCTTCTTAGGGTGCTGCTTTATTTTCTTATACCAATTGCTCAGAAAAATCACCAGAGACAAAGCATCTCCCCAGTTTGCACAGCAGTGCTATCCAAAATTCCTTTCACAATGCATGGATGCTCAGAGTTGCTGGGTTTGGAAAATTCCATTTCTATAGCATCTCTTTCTCTAGAAAAAGTATTAAAAGGTCTGAACCTTGTTGTACTTACATTCCAAAATTACGTGATCAATATTCACTAACATATTAGTCACCTTCCAATAAAATTCTACTTAACAAAACAATCTCCAAGTTTTAAATTAAGATTATATAGGAAAATATTTACTGCTTTAACAAAGAGGATGGCTAAATTTGAGATCTGCATGTTAGAATATTAATTGTACCCAAAATTAACGCCAGGTAATTTAAGAAATAAAAATACACGTGAGGTAAAGACATAACTCACAGAACGGGAGAAAATATTTGTAATCAGATTCAGAATACATAAAGAACCCTTACAATTCAACAATAAAAAAAAAGACAGGGGTGGGTGTTTAGTGCTGCACATCTCATTTCAGAGTGCCGGGGTTCAAACCAGCTTTAGCTCTGCTTCTAATCCCAGCTTCCTACTAATGCACACCATGGGAGGCAGAAAGTGAGTGGAGACTGAACCAGTGGATAGAAGATCTCTCAATAAATCTGAAAAAGGCAATAAGTCAATTAAAAAATGGTCAAAAGATCTGAACAGATGTTTTTCCAGAAAACAAACACGAAGGCCAATAAGCACATGAAAAGAAAATGATCACTAGGGAAATGCAAACCAAAATCACAATGAGACATCTATCACTTCACACCAGCCCAGATAGCTAAATAAAAGTGATGGACAGTAACAAATGTTGGTGAGGCTGCAGAGAACCTGGACCCCTCATACACCACTGTGTAGTAAGGCAGCCATTTTAGCAACATGCTAGCCCTTCATAAAGTTAAACATGGAGTCACATATAACCTAAGAATTCCACACAAATACATGTACCCAAATGTTCACAGCAGCAGTATTCATAATAGACCCCAAACAGAAAAAACACTTAATTTCAATCAAGGGGTCAACAGATTTTTAAAATGTGGTATATCCATACAATGAAATATTATCTGGCCATAAACAATGAGGTGTAGATACATGCTACAACACAGATGAACCTTGAAAAGCAGGCTAAACACAGAACCCAGAGGAGCCAGTGTGGTACGGCAAGTTAAGCTGCTACTTGCAATAACAGCATCCCATATTGGAATGCTGGTTCAAGTCCTGGCTACTCTGCTTCTCATCTAGCTCCCTGCTGGGAAGGCAGCAAAAGATTGTCAAGTACTTGAGCCCCTGATAACCAGGTGAGAAACCACCTGGTTCCTGGCTTCAGCCTAGCCCCAGCCCTGGTTGTTGAGGGCACTTCGGGAGAGAACCAGAAACTAGAAGGAGTTTGTATCTCTATCACTTTGCCTTTCAAATAAATTTTTTTTCTTAAAGATTTATTTATTTATTTGAAAGGCAGAGTTTCAAAGGGGGGGGGGGGGTCTTGCCATCCGCTGGTTCACTCCTAAATGGCCACAACGGTTGGCACATCCAAAGCTAGGGGCTTCTTATGGGTCTCCCACACGGGTGCAGGGGCCCAAAGACTTGGGCCATCCTCTACTGCTTTCCCAGGCCATAGCAGAGAGCTGGAACAGAACTGGAGCAGCCCTGCTGTATCTCAACCTGACGCCCATATGGGATGCTGGCACTGCAGGCAGTGGCTTTACCCACTATGCCACAGCACTGGCCCCCTTTTTTTTTGTTTTAAAGATTTGGGTTTTTTTATTTATTTGAAAGGCAGAGTTAGAGAGAGAGAGAGAGAGAGAGAGATCTTCCATCTGCTGGTTCACTCACCAAAAAAATGGCTGCAAGAGGCAGGGGCCCAAGCACTTAGGTCATCTTCCACTGCTTTCCACAGGTATATTAGCAGGGAGCTGAACTGGAAGTGGAGCAGCCGGGTTGAGCCTTAAACCAGCATCCATATGGGATGCCAGTGTCTCAGGCGGCAGTTTAACCTACTATGCCACAAACACTGGTCCCTCAAATAAATAAATCTTAAGCAAAACAAAACAAAGAACACAGGCAGAGAATGCTACATATCACATGATTCTATTTTTATGAAATGTCCAAAATAGGCTAATCCACAGTCAGAAGAGTGGATCAGCGGATTTCAGGGGCTACAGGAAAAGGAGAAAAGGAGTGACTGCTAATGGGTATTGGATTTCTTTATGGAGTTATGAGTATGTTCTGGAATTTAACTGGAGTGACAGATGACACAACTGTGAATATAATGAAACTGAGTTATTCTTTATTTTTTGTGAATAGATCTCAATATAGCCATTATCTAAAAATAAAAATGTATGTAAGTGGAGGGGAGTACTTTAAGATCTTAAGCATTTACTTAAGCCCCAAGTTTTCAATTCTGAAAAAATTTCAATGTTATAGTATTTATTTCAAAGTTACTGTAAGTGGTATATTTACTGCTCAAAGTTTTTATCGGTGTCCTAAATATGGGACAATGGGATTGAAAGGGTTAAGGTAAAGAGGCCATCTGATCATTTGATTCATTCAAGGAATACCTACATACAATATATTTCAATATCATCTAATTCATATCTAATCGTAAGCCACTTCAATCCTATCTGAACTACATTTTCAGCTTATAAATGAATATTTCAATGTAAATTAATGAAGTCATACAGAAAATTAACATTAGAAAACTCAAAAACTACACAATTCTATTATAATCTTTTAAAAAAGAACTTTCTTTGATCCTTTTTATTGCTTTAAGGATAGTATTTTTCTAACCTTTAAAAATTTATCTACGTTAACAATGTTTATTTTGCAGAGATAATTAAGATGTTCAAAATAATAAAAATTAATAAAAGACTAGAAACTGACCAGATTCCTCTAACTTCCTAGTTTGCAATACTGATGTGTAAGCCACATTTGACCCAACAAAGATTGTAAAATACCACAACATATATATTCAACCAGTATCTGACTATATCTTAATATCTAAGAATCTCAAAGGACATTCTAAATTGATTTCAAAGTTAAAAATCTAATTAAACATGTACTAAAAACTGAAAACAGAAAGTACCTGTAACTTGTGCAATTATAATGCAGCTAAATCTGGTAATTTACAGACATCTTAAAAGCCTCAACAAAGAGGGCTTGGGCTTTTTTCTATCAGAAATGAGGTCTGGAGGTTTCCGATGAGGAAAGACCATTAGACACTTGCACTTAACGACATGAACACCGTGCATGAGGAAAGTGCCTCAGAAACTGAAAGCAGAAAGAGCAATATTGAGGAGAGAACTCAGAACTACAGATGCAAAGCTGAAAACAAAAAACAAACGCCAAGGACATGTCAAAGCCAAACCAATACAACTGAGTAAAACAGGAAGGAGCAGCATCAGATAAGAGCCACAGTGCTCTAGACTTGTGACTTAATGTATGAGCAGATGGGTGGAACTATCGCAGTATGACACGTCAGCCTGAAGACTGAACAAGACACACAGGTGGAGATGACAAGTCAGCAATGCAAGAGTGAGCAGGAGACTTACAGGAAGGCTGCACCTAATACATATCCTGGATAGCACACACAGCGCTGACACCAGCATCAACTGCAAGAGAACTCAATCAAGGAAACCAAGAGTGAAGAAGAAAATCAGAAAACAGCATCCTAGAAGCCAAAGGAGAGTGTTTCCAGGAGAGCGATTGCTAGTAACAAAAAACTTCAGAATTTGAGGGAGAAAGACTGAAAAGAAACCTCTAGGCTTGGGGGCCAGCGTTGTGGCACACCGGCCCCACTGCCAGACATTTCCAAATCACAGTAATTCTATGAAACAGCTGTCATTATTTGTATCTTACAGATGGGGAAACTGAGGCACAGAAAGTAACTTGCCCATAGTCAAACAGGAAATGACAGAAGTGATATTTGGAATCAGGGAATTTAGCTCCAGAAGATATTCTTAACCACTCACATAATTAACAAAGCCAGAGATCTAAGAGACTGATAGGAACCAGGGGAGAGTTAGTCTTAGCTAAAGACTTGGCTAACTCTTTTTTCCTTTAAAATGGGAAAGAGAGGAAGACAGTTTGGAAGGAAGATGAACTGCCAAAAGCTACACCAGCATGGACCTGTTTTCTCTACACAGTGTAAGCCAGGAGGAGTCAGGAGGGATTTCAGGGCACACTATGAAAAGATTCAGAATTGCTATTCTGGGGCATTCCAAAGGGAATCACCTGAGGATAAGGAAAAGGGCTCTGAGGCCTTCTAAGGGTTCAGGTGGGATCAGAGGAGGCAGCGGGACAGAAAGCAGACGCGATGACAGTGCAAGTGGAGAGGAAGGACTACACATTCTCCTCACTTTCTTCCAAACTCAGGCTTTCAACTCTCTAATATAAATGACTCAAATGCTGTTCAGACTTCTGCCTTCCTAGCTCCTAGCCTTTACACCCAGTCTAACTAACACCTCCAGTTGGAAGTCTCAGCATATCCAACATGTTCCCTGCTAATCAAATCAATCTTCCTTTCTAGTACCTATCACCATCTTTTTAATTGCACAAGGCCAAGCCTAAAAGACATTCTCAATTCCTTCTCTCTCGCCCTACATAATTCTGGATTTTCATATTTCTCCCAGTCATTTCATGCCACTGTCCTAGTCCAAGTTCCCAATGCTTC